TGTTCTTGATTTACAGTATCCGCAGTTCTTTCGGTTTTTATTCACTTGCATGTATGCCGACAGATGTGAGAATGTGAGTATTTTTTAGTTGTTTATATAAATGCATATGTTTAATCAGTGGGTGCATATTTAAATGTATATTCATCTGTGTGTCCAAGCAAATGCTTCTATATTTATGATGTATGCTATAGCATAGATGGATTGAATAGTCAAGGTATTTTTTCTAGGGTGAAGGAGTCCAAAAATAGAGGCTGTAGGTTTAAGTTGAGAGGGGAAACTTTTTCGCACAGAGGGTGGTATGTATATAGAATGAGCTGTCAGAGGAAGTGGTGGGTATGAGTAGCAAGGGTGTAGAGGGATATGGGCCAACTGCAGGCAAATGGGACTAGGTCAGATTGGGATGTTTGGTTGGCACGGACGAGTTGGACTGAAGGGTCTGTTTCTGTGCTGTATGAATCTATATCTACAGGCATATGATGTGTTTGCTATATGCATGTGTTTTCATACTATGATATATCATGGATTTACGCACGTTTATACACATTTTTACATTTGTGCAGACATGCTTGTCCAGCAAAACGCATGGATCCGTACAGACACTATATTCGCGTATACGAGCATTGATGATTATTAATAGTGGCTTGTCTTCGCGCACATGTTTATGCTTTGTTTTGTCATGTTTTGTAATTTGCATGTGTATATATGCATTAACCTGTGAGTAACTGCATGTGTATTTGGGTTTATAATGTAATTTGCATACATAAGTATGCACCTGTATGTACAGCATTTGTCAATGTTAATGTTTTCTGTCATATGTAAGTGCTTTTATTTTAAACGCTATACTTTGAAATGGCTTGAACCTTTTTTTTCTATTATTCATAGTTATACAGCAATGAAACAGACCCTTTGGTTCAACCAGTCCATGCCGAACATAATTCCAAACTAAACTAGTCTCACCTGCCTGCTGCTGGCCCATATCCCTCCAAACCTTTCCTATTCATATTTCCATCCAAATGTCTTTTAAATGTTGTAATTATACCCACATCCAACACTTAATCAGGAAGTTCATTCCACACACAAACTACCCTCTGTGTAAGAAAAAAAGCCTCTATTTTAAACCTCTCTCCTCTCACCTTAAAAATGTGTTCCCTCATCTTAAAACTCCCAATCTTAGGGAAAAGATACCTACCATCAATTCAATCTATACCTCTCATTATTTTATAAACTTCTATCAAGTCACTTCTCAACTTCCTATGCTCTGGTGAAAACTCTCAGCCATTCTTTATAACTCAAACCTTCCATACTCGGTAACATCCTGATAATTCATTAATGGAATTTAGCAGCACTGGCCAAGTCAGCATTCATTGTTTCAATAATTGCTGTTCAGAAAGTGATTGTGAACTGTCTTCTTGAATGACTAATCCTTGGATCCAGTTACACCCACAATACTGTTGGGGAAGGAGTTTCAGATTTTGGTGACAGTGAAGGAACAGCAATAATAGTTGCAGGATGGTACTAAGTCACAGACTTTAAATGTATTCAAGTTGATGTCTGTTTGTATATTTGTATATATGCCTTTGCATATGTATTTGAATGTTCCTGTTTGTATCTGTGCCTGTTTGTTTGTTTTTTAATCTGTGCATGTGTGTGAAATTGGTTGTAGTGTAACTATTTATATACATGCTTGTGTGTAATTGAATTATTTGCATCTGTGCAGAGATGAATGTTTATGCATTTGATGTGCATTTGTGTACTTTTGTCTCTGGGCTGCTAAATCAAAGTGTGCATGTTTGTGTTTATATATCTGCATGTGCACAAGTGTGTATATGTTTGTACACTTTTTACAAAGCTTTGTTTTTATGTGCACTGTTTGCAAATAGTTTGCATGCATGTGATTTTTGTTAGCTTGTGTGAGCATCTGAGTATACAGGTATGGGTGCCTTTTTTTGGTTACTGTGTGTATGTACATATGCATAAAAATCTTGCTGCCTTTACATGCATGTGGGTACCTTTACCTGTCCCCACATGCATGTACAGACATAATATATACATAGTGCATGTTGACATTAACCTGGATCTATATGTGCATGTTTGTGTGTGTATAGAAATCCACATGTATGTTGTGTAGAGATGTTTGTATTTTGTGTGAAAATGAATCTGTGCACAAGTAGAATTTGTGGTTTGGTTTACTGTTTTATTCCTGTCACTGTAATCAGTAGAGGAGGATATGTGTCTCATGGGACTGGGGTTGTCTCAAATTTGGCAGTGCTGGTCTGTAACTTAGATCACTAATTTCAACATATTGCCTTCAGTCACTTGGTACTCAGGCGTTTTTTTTGGTCTTTCACACAATGGGTGTAAGTATTTGGAATATTTTTACAGTTTTTGTCTATCAAGCAAAAATGTATTAATAAATGCATCTCCAAAGCTTGAAATCTAAGGAAGGCCAACATTGTTTCTCTTCCATGAGTGTTGATCATTAGAAGGTTCACATTATTTGTAATCAAAACATAATTTATAGGCTTTCAATTCCAAAATTCAATAATATGGATATTGTAAAATAAGGAAATTATTTCTTCGTACAATTTGAGAAGGGCTTTGAGAAGATAATTCAAGTAAATTAAAACTACAACAGGCATGTGCTCAACTCTGCGATATTGTCATATTTTCCTCCTGTGCTCCAATCTAAATGTAGATTATGAAAATATAAATTTTTGCTCTTCAATACAAATGTTTAAAATGTATCTCTTACTTTTTCAAATAATTTTTTGGTTGGTTTTTAAAATTGGGGGAGGCTGGCTGATAAACATTGCATGTTTGGTTATTTTAAATGCTGTTGATGAATAGGTGAAACAGTGCACAATGCACATGCTAGATCCAATAGTCTGACCTTAAACTAATGTGGTCTGTGTTGTGGTTAAAAATGATCAACCGCAAGATTAAGTAAAAACATTAATGAAAGCATTGAAGGATAAAAGTAAATAAATGATAAATGTAATGTTACTTTTGAGTGTGTAATTTCAAACACAATGTTTTAAAAGTCTTTTCTGGAAAGTAATTTTTTACTTATCATTTTACAAATTGAGACATGAGATTTCTAGTTTGAAAATGACACATGACGTATTCTGTATACTCCTGTATGACAAATTGAATTTTTAAAATCAGTTTTGTAGCTTGTATGCGTGAAGTATGTAATTTGTCTGCATTACATAGTGTAAAGTCTGTATGAAAATCCATGTATGTATATTTCTGCGCATTTGTACACGTTGATTTTTTTTCGCAACAGGCTACTGAAGATGCGCCAACACTTTCCAGTTAAAAGAAAATACCCTTTAATCTGCCGCTTGATTACTATTTGCTATCGAGGTTGTCAGTGATTGATTGTTTTTTTTTCTCCTTACTATTGCAGCATGTTACGGCATTGTGCAAGTACCCACTGGACCGTGGTTTTGTAGAAAATGTGAATCGCAGGAGAGAGCCGCTCGAGTGGTGAGTCCATGACCTTCTGATTTTGCCTTTGGTTTGTGAGAGTTGTATCTCCGATTTAACTGCAGCTTACAACTGCTGCTGACAAACACTAGCAACGACGAGAGAACCTGATATTATCTCTTTAAGTTTCAAAGTGAATATTTACAATAAATTGCTTAACCTCAGTTTGTGGAAATATGGTTGACGGAAATTCTTCGTTTGGAGAAGATGCATGGTGGTATTGTTATGTTTTGAAATGAATTGTGCTGTAGTGTTTTGTAGGTAAATACTATCGACCGAACAGCTCTGCAGTGAGGGATTCAAAACTTAGGCCATAGTTTGTAAAAGGCTAAAATGAAATGACCACTGGCGTAACAACAAAGCTATTGGGATTGCTGGCTGTGACTTGTTCTCTTCCCTTCCCCCTTTATTATGGCTCACGTGCTGGCTTTGCAGAGAATGTGATCTTTTCTATAATTCCCCAGTCGCCTGGTGTCGATTGGTGGAGCAATCACGTCGGGAGCAAAGGACCGTCATCATTGCGTGCTTTCAGTACATGATCAGCGGCCTCCCCAAGTGACGAAAATAAAATATGCGGAAGACTGTGAAGTGCTGCTATTTGCAGTATGTAGGGTAGCGCTTCAACGGCATTCATTTAGCAGAGCTACAAGAGGGAGTTCTTTTTCAAAACCAAAGGATCGCCTTTTCAGTGTGCTTTCTGGGGTGGAAGTTCACTTGCGCTCATTCTATTTCAGTATTGACTCAATAGTGCCTTCAAATTTTCAGTCGTGGGATTCGAAGAGAAAAGCGACTTTTTTTTGTTATTTTTGGTTGGTCGAGTTTTTATTGCCCCGAAGTTGTAGGAATTTGAATATTGCTTTTTTTAAGCCTCTTCATGAGAATGGCTTCGCCTGAAGGTTACTTTTGTGGGGACGGCGAATGCCTTTAATTTTGGCACTGGTGTATTAGCAGATTTTCTCGGAAAGCAAAGTAATGAACGTTTTGTTAAGTTGTGTTGCTGTTAGAGGTATTTGCGTGTGCTTCACAAGCTGAATGCACAAATTGTTAGTTTCAGGGTAGAAACGGTAGAGCAAGTGACATGTTCAGCACAGTTGGGGGTGAAATAAGTGGAACATGCTAATTTACAACGCTATGCGTACAGAGTGAGGTCTTATTGAAGTATGCGAGGTTGGACGTTTGAATCGGAACCGATTTCAGTAAATGACAGATACTAGGTGACTTAATTGATTGCGATTAATTCTACCGACAGTACAGCTTGGCAGCGAACGCCAATAGTTTACATATGGTATAGAATAGTGTCCTTGTTTATTTTTGTACCTTTCTTTTTCCAAGAAATGTGAACTTTGTCCTCATAAGGATGGCGCTCTCAAGAGGACCGACAACGGAGGTAAGTTGCTTTGTTTTAACAGACAAAATTGACTTGTGTTGACTACGTTTTTATATTTTTGTGCATATTACAAACGGCGTGTTTAGTGATAGTTGTATGATCACTGCATCATTATACTCAGAAGCAGAAGTAGGCCATTCAGCCCATCGATTTTGCTTTTTTTAAATTCATTCGTTGGATTTGGGTATTGTTGGCTGGCCAGCATTTACTGCCGCCCCTAGTTCGCCTTGAGAAGGCGATAGTACTCTGCTCGTGGTTTTTCTGTTAATGGGAATAAACATTGCTTTGTCAATAGGCACGACGGATTTTAGTTGGGATTAGATGCTGTTTTAGCAAGTATAAAAGGCTTTAGTCTGATTTATTACCTTGGAGTTTTAAATTCACATTTTTTCTGAAACGATTTTGCATTTGGTTAGATTCAAAGTCATGAGTGAACATGTTTGTAGGTTTGTAAAGGTATATTGTAATTCAGAAGCTGAATATTGGTTTGAAATAATTAGAAGAAATTTGTATGTTTGACATGTTATCGAGGTTATATTCGCGTTGCAGAGGGTAGCCGGGATTTTGTACGGATCAATCTGATAGTTTGGCATCCCTCTCGTGTTTTGTGCTTCTCATTCGTAGACATTAGATCAAAAACTCAAGTGATTTGTAGGTCTGTTGTCAGTGTTGTAGTTATTCATGCAGGAATAATTTTTAAAAATGTTTTCCGAAAAACGATTGTGAATATTTTGAAAATTAGACTCCATCTAGTGGCTGATTTTAGGTGAAATTTATTTCGATTTGTGCTTCTGCGTAGGCTGATTTTATAAAATGTAGTTTGCATGTGAATGTGCGAGAGGGAGAGCAGTTTAAATGCTTGTAATCAACATATGAAATTAGACAGTGAAATTACTTAGCTGTACAACTTCTAAAATAGTCTACCTCATTGGAAGTGGGCTTTAATAGAAGTCTAAATTAGAGATCCAACCTCTTTGTCATGTATTTTGTTTTTGGAACACGCTTAAAATACAGTTCACATCTGAAGAATTAATTTGTTGGAATTTACTTGCTGTTTTTATTAGGCATTTCTCAATAGAACCATGGATGACTAAAAAGGGATTCTCAAAACTGGATCAGTTTTTAATTAGTGCATTGAATTATGTTTTTTAAAAAGCAACTCCTAAATACAACTAACTGTAAGTTTGATTTAATCAAATTGAATGTCATTTCTGGGATCTAGTTAAACTAAATTGTTGGTCCCTTTAGTAGCTTGATGAGTAAAGAATATGTTCATATTGTGATGTCATAACATTTGGACCCAAAGGTCCTTGTTTAATTCCTGACTAAATAAACGATGTGGACTACTGTAGCAGCCGACCTCTGCAAGAAAACAATACTGCTTGTTGATTATCCAGTGAAGTTACCTGTTCTAAATTGTTTATGGACTTAGGGTGAAGACTGGATCAAGGCAGTAGTTTGGCATTTTTCAAAACTCAAACTCCAAAAATAAGTGAGTTAGTGGAGAACTGCTGATGTTTGTTTTACAGCATCTCAGCACAAGTAATTCTTGATGAATGATAAAATCATTACATAATTTTTAAAAACTCATTCATGGGATGAGGGCATCGCTGGCTAGCCAGCATTTATTGCCCATCCTTCATTGCCCAGAGGGCAGTTGAGTCAACCACATTGCTGTGGGTTTGGAGTCACATGTAGGCCAGACCAGATAAGGATGGCATTTTTCTTTCATAAAGGACATTAGTGAACCAGATGGGTTTTTCCGACAATCGACAATGGATTCACGGTCATTGTGAGATTCTTCATTCCAGATATTTATTGAATTCAAATTCCACCATCTGCCGTAGTGGGATTCAAACTCAAGTCCCCAGAATGTTATCTGGGTCTCTTGATTAACAGTCCAGCAATAATACCACTAGGCCATTGCCTTCCAACATATAATGTAAGGAGGTCAACTTGCCCATCATATCTACGTTGGCGCTGTGCAATAGCATGGCCAATTTGGCTCTCTGATTCTTTGCTGTAGTTCTGTTCTTGTTCAGATAATCATCCAGTTGGCTTTTGGAAGCTTCAATTGGTTTGGTTCCCCCATTTGTGAGCAGTGTATTCCAAATCCTCATCAGTGAGTTTTTTTAATGAGGTTTCTCCTCATGTTGCGTTTGGTTCTTTTTCTGTTGACCTTGAATCCATACACTGGTTCTTATGCCTTCTACCAATGAGTGCAGCTTCTCCATATCTAATCTGTCCAAACATTTTTGTGATTTTTATATGCCTCCAGCTAAATTTCTCAGCCTCCTTTTCTTTAAGTAGAACAGTTCTAGCTTCTCCAATATGTCATATACTAAAGTCTGTCATCACTGAAATAATTTCTTTAAACACTTTTATGTGCTTTCTGATCTCCATTTCCTAAAGTGTGGTGCTGAAAATTCAAAACTCAGAACTCAAGTTGAGGTCAAACAGCATTTTATAAATGTCCGCAATAACTTCCTTACTTTTGGGTGTAACCATGTGTTTGATTTAAAACAAAGCTTTGGAATCCTGTAAGTTGGAGGTGTGGACCTAATCACTTGTTTTTCGTTTCCTTGTTCCATTCTGACAAGCATTGACTTTTTTTGGGTTTGCTCAGTGAGTTTATCTGTTAGGTAAACTTAGTGAGTTAGGAGAGCAAACAGGCCAATTCTAAAACAATTGTGTTAGTTATAGATATACAGTGGCATATTAATTCAAGCAATAAGTGCTCATGTGATGTGATCATGAATAGGATGTGTCAAATTAGGTTTTTAAGTGTTGCTTTTGGCTAGGATTTGAACATGCAGTTCAGTTGCATTAAATGGGAATAAACATAAGGTTGCTGCTGAGGCCTTTAAGACCATTAAATAAGGGAGCAGAATTTGTCTGCTCCATCATTTGATATGTTTCTCAACCCCATTTTACTGTTTTCTCTCTAACTTTTGATCCCCTCATCAAGAGCCTATCTTTCTCAATCTTAAATACAATTAATGTTTAGGCCTGCCAAGCATTCTGTGGCAATGAGTTCCACAAATTAACCAGCTCTGCAGGGTCATGCCTTCACTTTGATTCTGTGCTCTTAGGTCTCTCCCACCATTGGAAACATCCTCTCCATGTCCACGCTATCCAGGCATCTCAGTATACTGTAAGCTTCAATCAGCTACTGCCCCCTAACTAAACTCCATTGAATACAGAGTTAAAGCCCACAACTGCTCCTCCATATCATAAGCTCTTCATCCCTGGAATCATTCTTGTGATCCTCCTCTGGAACCCCCCCCAAGGCTATCCTTCCTTAGATATGGAGCCCAAAACTGTTCTCTATATTCCGAATGTGGTCTGACCAGAGCTTTATACACTCTTAGCAGTACATCCCCACTCATAAATTCTAGCTTACTTGAAATGAGTGCTAACATTACATTTGCCTTCTTAACTGTCAACTGACCCCACATGTTAACCTTTTGTGATTCCTGAACCAGTACTAAGTCCCTTGTACTTCAGATTTCTGAAGCTTTTCCCCATTTAGAAAATAGACTGTGCCTGTAGTTTTCCTACTGATGTTCATAATCTCTCACTTTCCAACATTGTATTCCATCTGCCACTTCTTACGCCACTCTCCAAGCCTGCCTTAGCCCCTCTGCATGCTCCCAGCCTCCTCAAAACTACCTCTCCCTCCACCTACCTTTTGCATAACCTGCAAACTTAGTAACTTAGCTAGGAGGAGGCGATGGCCTAGTGGTATTATTGCTGGACTGTTAGTCCAGAGAATGTTCTGGGACCCTGGATCAAATCCCACTGGAATTTGAATTCAATACAAATCTGGAATTAAGAGTCTAATAATGACTATTGAATCCATTGCCGATTGTCAGAAAAACCCTTCTGGTTCATTAATGTCCTTTAGGAAAGGAAACTGCCATTCTTACCTGGTCTGGCCTGCTTATGACTCCAGACCCTCATCAATGTGGTTGACTAGACAATAAATGCTGGTCTAGCCAGTGATGCCCTCATCCCATGAATGAATAAAATTAACAATGCCTCAGTTCCTTTATTCAGATTGTTAATGTATGATGTGAATAGTCGTGGTCCTAACACTGACTCCAGAACTTCACCGGTCACCGTCATCCTAAAAAAGACCCTTTCCCCTCTATCTCTTCTGTCTTCAGTCAATCCTGTATCCATGCCCATGCCTTGCCTCTAACAATTTTGCTAGTATTTGGAACATATTACTTTATCTGTGCACTAGCTACTTTATAATGTATAGCTTGCTAAACAAGACTGATCACTTATGTTTGAAGAGTGTTCCATTAATTATTGGATATAACTGGATATGCATATGTACAATGGTATGGTAGTTCACTTCTTGCTCCTTTCTTGTTTGGTTATTGTGATTTATGCCTCTTGAAAATGAAGCTCTCCAGACATCTGCAAGATTTATAGTTTAAATTTACCCACCTCCATTTTAAAAGTCCCAGTTGCAAGTTGACTTCAACTAAGAAGTTATAGTGTATAACCAAGCATAACTTGAATTAATAAATGTATTTTATGATTGTTTTTGCAGCAATTTCAAAGGAGTTAGTGAAATAGTGTTTCTCATTGCTTTATACTGCTATAGGGAATTAACAGAATTAAAGTGTGAGAATGTTCATTTATATGGTGGTGTGACTGTGGCAGTTTCAGGAATGTTTGCTTTTAGCATAACTGTCTATTGTCTTCATCACTTAAGCCACTTAAATCTATAAACAAATTTAATTAAATCTTTTTCCCTCATTATTTGTAAGGTACACTTATGATATTTACTTTGTAAGAGATTGTATTACGAGAGTTCTGCAGAATTTGAGATTGTAAAGCACAAACTGCTTGGAGTCACCTATTAGCCAGTGCAAAACTGCTAGATCTGTTAGGAGCTGTAACTTGGAAGACCTATTCTCAATAGGTCTTTTGGTGTCAGTGAATGCATATAGACTTCTAACCATACGAATCAAGATCAGAAGTAG